TCAGTCACTAGCAATATACAGTGTGTATTTTAATACAATCACATGCGAAAACATCAAGCATACGCATAAATATCCACAAATCAAAAGTACCCCAATACACAACTCATGCATGTGTCCGCCCCAGTGACCTGCCAACTCTGACCAACAAATTTGTATTCACAACTGGCGCTAAACAATTCATGTTGCAACAAGTCTGAGTCAAGGATTAAAGAAATCATCTTAACACTAAAAACCTTGAGAAGATTTTTAGCTCCGGATGCGGATGAGGGAATCCGGGTGTTCTCCGAGTTGGCTGATTTGGCTGCAATCGTCTCATCCTCAGGATACACGACGTCATCAATGCGAATTATGCGGGCGAACAGCACGTAGGAGCTGACTGCACGGTCAGCTCACGTAGACCAGTCGACTTCTGAGGTTCGAATCAGTAAGTGCTCAATAATCATTGGAATCTGTAACTGGCCCGTATAAATCGCACTGATGATGTCTTCTAGACTGACGCTGAAACGTTTGTAGCCAACTCAGCCAGCTCGGAGAACATCCCCATACCCTCAAGTTAACACTAAGTAATGGAGACACATAGGGGAAAACGCTTCTCGGTAAAGTCACATCAGACCTAAACGTTTACATGGCGCTGAATGTGGGGAAAGCGTCAACTCGGGCTGGAATTGAGTTCTGGGCTGTTCGAGCGATCAAAATCAATAACTTGCGGCAACGATGCATATGGTGAACCAAGTGAACTAACTAAACATGCAGACACAAGGCCCAGTGGCCCGAAGTAAGTATGCAGGACGACAATCAGTAAGTAAGTGACAGTGTCAGTTGGCCCAGGTAGTAGTATGGGACTTATGTATTGTTTCTGTACTCATAATTCCGGCTTCAGATGGTGGAGGTAGATAGCCTCGGCGATAGATAAGAGCTGTTTGCGTAATCCTTGAGAAAAGTGTTCAGGTAGCGGGTAGATGACTTTGAAGTCGTTCTCGAAAGCTTTATGGCCACATTCAAGGAGGTGAAGAACGAGGTGTCTATCTCAGAGGATTCGTGCGCACATCCCGGCATGGTTTTACAAAGGCGAAATGTGGTTCTCAGAAAGCTCAACCATGTCGCACCTCCTTGAATGTGGCCATAAAGCTTCCGAGAATGACTTCAACGTCATCTATTCGCTACCTGAACGACTCTCTCGAGGATTACGCAAACTGCTCTTATCTATCGCCGAGGCTATCTACATCCACCATCTGAAGCCGGAATTATGAGTACAGAAACGATCCAAACCGACACAGTTATTTGATTGTTGTCTTACATACTTAATTACTTCGGACCACTGAGTCTTGTGTCTGCATGTTTAGTTAGTTCACTTGGTTCACCATATGCATCGTTGCCACAAGTTATTGATTTTGCTCGTTCTAACAGCCCAGAACTCAATTCCAGCCCGAGTTGACGCTTTCCGAACTCTCAGTGCCATGTAAATGTTTGGGTCTGATGAGATTTTACCGAAAAGTATTCTCTGCCCTGAAGTCATTACTGATATTGTTTCATATTAATGAAACGGGAATATTTGCTTTGCTGAAGAGCAGCATTGTCCTAGGTTCATTGAAACACCTAAGGGCAACAGAACAAGATCACGCAGTGCCGAGTACATATCCACCAAACACCCACGTGGACCAACGGACTTACGTAGGCACATTCCACACATACTAGCTCCCGCACAATTGATCCATCCGACACCCAATTACATAGACAGGCAGGATAACCCAGGTAGTATACGCAAAACTAAACGACAAAAAGAATGCATTCACCAGTCCTTTATTCGTGCAGCAGTCACAACGCAACATTCACAGCCAACCACATTCAACACTCACCCCAACCCTAAGACCTAGGGGATCGTTTTTACTGCACACCCAGCATCCAACGCCATCACGACGATGAATGGACAAACAATCACCGAGTACCACCACTGCTCATTCAACTTGAACATGAAAAGGAATCGAGGAACACAAACCAACCTTCGCACCACTCACATACACTACACATTATTCGCAACCACAACAAAACGACAACAAACACAACACCAAGCGTCAACATGTATCTGAGGAACTGAATGAATACAAGGCTGACACCATCTTGCGCTCAGGGTGCCGACTTCCATCCACACGCACTGCTCAGTTTGGACCACATGCACATTGACACATAATGAGCATCAGCATCCAGCTCGCACTCACTTCGCAATGCATAAGACCCAGCAATATCGCTAACCATTGGTTCTAATACAGTGCCACCTCCGTCACGCTATAATTATCCTGACATCGGCTGGCTTTCAGTAGACTCCAAAGTATACAACTGCGCGACGCAGCAACAGCTTCAGGATTGGTAGAGAGTACAATGATCGCGTCTTAACTTATACACAGTTTGTTGTTGCAGTCGTTTGTAAACTGACGGTTGCTACTTGTTTCCGTTGATCCCACCTGCCTGTGGTAATAACTTACTCGGATGTATGCACTTGAGTAGTTACTCTCTGCGGACATTTGATTTGCCGTGCTGAGTTTTACCTTTGCTTTTGGATTACTGTATTACAAATGCTTCCTTTGTGTCGATTGTGCATCAATGTTTCTTTTGGTGCATTTTTCCATCTGTGCAAATTTGGTAGATATTGGCTGGCTACTGTCGGAGATCTCACTGATTGGTCCCACTGCCATGTGTATCCGCCATCTTGGCTTTGTTTTACAGCAATTGAACCTGAGTAAGCCAGACCACCAGCTTGACCGACAGCGTTTGGATTCAGTCTAAGAGTGTCGACGTTGCAACGAATGACATTCGCAGAACTGACAGCCAAAATGGCACGTACTGCTTGTCCACGAAAAGCTAAGCCTAAAGCTTCCGCAATAAATGGCAATGGCCCAGACAGCCGTATTAAACTTGTGCGATTCACATTAGAATGCAAAATTGTCAAAAATATTTTCATCCTCTACTTGCTCGCCTTAATCCCAGCCAGATAAAATAACTTGATAGTACGACTGATTCCTTTTGGTTCTGCACTGAGTGTACGTCTATTGCACTCGTCAAATTTATACTTGTGGTGGCACAGAATTGCGATAGGCTGACAAAGATTGTAGAGCAACCCGCAGCCGTGAAAACTGTTCCACAGTAACCGGACAAATCAGTGCCTCGAACCCGATACTCAACAGCACGCACAAATTCAGAAGAGTATAGTCGGGCCGAAAATGAAGTAAAGATCCAGTGTTAGCCACTCCGACAATAGCGGCTGCTCATACAGATGCGTTCGCCACACATTCTTCAACACAATCACCTGCTACACTACACTGTTAAAGGCTCGACAACCTACGCGTCCGTGGTTGCTACCCATATGACGGAGGCACGAGCCATCTAAACGCCGCCCATTGCCAAACGAGTAAATACTACCAAACCACCACGGGACCCAAGACCCCCTATTTTGTACAAAAGAAAAAAGCATCTATTGGTCGCTCCAAAAAGAAGAACCTGAGATAATACCAGATTTTATCTGACTGTTATATGCTCTAATGTGACTGAATCCGGGGCGAACATAAGAGATAAAATACTAGAGGAAAAATTCAGTGGGATCCCCTATGTCAAATAACAGGGTTTCAAGCTAAACCAGTCAATATCATGCGTCTCGTCTGCCACTCAAGCTCCGTACACTAAAGTGAACTGGGGTTACTCAAGGTAACACTTCTGTCAGGTAATGATGCAGAGGCAGTTCTCTTGTCAGCCACTCGCCTCCGTACCACCACATGCATCGTTCGAATATTTCTAGACGTTCCCTGAAGCGAACAGCAGAAAAGCAAACAAAAACCCGATTGACTTCCGTAAACAGAGTAACGTAAAATTACTTCTTATCCACGGTGTTTCCTAGCTCCAGACATGGAGCGAGCTAGAGGCCCAAGCGCATGACTACGATGGATGGCTTTTCATTCGTGAAGCGCTCTTACTCGAAAACGTTATCGCTAATCCGATATCACGGTTACCGCTTTCACCTAACTACATAGGTTTGTGGTCCCCGAGTAATGAAAGTATCCTTATATTCCAAACTGCTGGCAGAACATGTGATTAAAATCTGGCACAAAATCGTAAAATCCAGCCATCCGAAATAACATAAATACGATGAGCACCGGGCCACAGATAGACGGTGCAAAAGCGAGCAATCAACTTACCAATACAATTCTGTCACCGCTTAGCTCGGAACGGGGACAAAGTCAAAACACACCAGCAGCTGAAGGACAGGATGTCCACCCTCTTTTGGCGATGAAAGCACTATACAACAAACAGAATTGGCCCGAGGGCCTCTGTCATCGGATTTACAAGTAAAGATCGATCGACAGCCTACTCCGCAATGGTCGGCATAGTCTCTCATCGGAAAGCAGCATTAACAAACATGCTTCTAAACACCGATACCCTAGCCTAGTATTATACCAATGAGCAAGATTTTCTCAGAAGCTAACCGAACTTCGTATACGTGAGGTATCTGCGCATTGTAACCTAGTTATGTGCTCCTAAACATGGCTGAACACATAGACCACCGATGCTGGGATCGCTCTACCCGGCATGAATTCTATACGAAATGATCGACCTAGCGCAGTGCTCCTGTATTATCGATCCGACCTGCATGTTGCCATCATTGAGCACACAGATACGCAAGTTGTCGAAACTCCTTGGCGTCGTATGCACCTAAGTCGTGTTGATGTACGTTTACTAGCAATAGTTTACTGCACTAAAATGTCCCGCTTGGAAATGGATCAATGCCTAGCTTCTGCAGTGAAGCGAGTCCTGGCACGACCACACAGTCAAGTCTTGCTATCAGGTGATTTCCACCTGCAAACAATGGAATTCCCAGCATCTCATAGTGAATGATTCAGGGTTGAATTGCAAGTGGTGGTCGCCGCGGTACCACCTTACAACCAAGTAACCGTGCGATTTTCAACGGATAACAACCCGCTTTTTGGGACTTTGTGCTCACCAACGAGGAACTAATGCTCGACACCGTGACCATAGGTGCCCTACTTGGCCATAGCGATCACGCGATGTTGTTCTTTCGTCACATCCGTTACTCGAAGCACATCAGTGAGAACAACATGGTAATCTATGTCACTTCACATTTCGATACCCTGTACAATTTCTTTCAAGGAACGGACTGGTCCTTCCTGGCCGAGCAGCTGCCCGATGTCACTTGGATGATGTTTGTCACCCAATTTAGCAAGCTAGCGGCAAATGCGTCAGAAAGCAATGTCTATCGTCCGAACCAAGTTAACTCGATCCTGAAGAGCCGACATCGAAAGTACACAGCCTTAATTGATTCAGCCTGGTGCGCTTAAATATCCTTCAAATAACCTGACCTGGGCTGCTTACACAACTCAACGAAACCACTGCATCAAGATGATTCACGAAGATAAAATCTAACGCCAACAGACTATAGCAGCGAAATTCAGTACAAATACCGTTGTTGTATAGACACTTCAAAAAAAGCCCCGCAGAGTGCAGCGTGGGATCCCAGATTTACGTGCAACAGACGGTCTGACACAAACAACATAATATGCGGCTAACATGCTTCACCAGCACCACATCCACACTTCCCAGAGTGAATTACATTTCACTCGCTTTCGACACAGCTCTCATCACCACCAGGATTAAACCGCGTAACGTTCACAGCAAACAATGCGATGGAAGTATAATGTCATTGCGTGTTCACAGCTAACCTGGCGTGAACGACATCAAACCGAACGCAATGTTGACAGTGGCCATGAAACTTTCTCGGTTCTTTCAACGTTATCGATGAAGTGCAGGTTCTAGCCATGTAGAAGCATGGAGTAGTCATTCCTATCTAGAAAAGTGGTAATCGTGCAGAGCCGTCCAATTACATTGTAATCACCCTCCTCCCAGTTTTATCTAAAGTGATGGAAGGTATAATCGCACTGGCGCTCATGGGATACCGTGAGAGAAACAATATCCAATTGTCCCAGCAGCACGGATTCCGCCGAAATCCGGGTCTTGTACTACAAGCTAGCTGCTAGCCGGGCAAGCTGAACAGAGTCGGCTGATGCAAGAGTGGAAGTGGACGTAGTCTACCTGGGATTCTCGAAAGCTTTCGAATGTTTGGACCACCGCATTCATCTTCAGAAGCTTCGAATCCATGGAATCGCTGACGCTGTGCTCAGCAGCATCGGCAAGTTCCTCATCAAAAGCCAGCTGAATGTGAAAGTCCGTAGCTCCATTCCCGACCCAATTTATGTCCTGTGTGGCATGCTACAGTGATCGGTACAGAGGCTACGTTAATTAATAGCATTCAGTATCGAACTTACCAGTGTATTGCAGTTAATATTACTTACTATTTGCTGATGATGTCAAAATTTGACATCAGGCCAGCGCTTAACCACATGGCACTACGGGGCGATCTCAACATGGCCTACACGTGGTTTTCCGATAAACTGCTACATTTCAACGTGACCAAGTGCAAAGTAATGAACATACGTCATCAACTTACCCATTAATATCAAACTGGGGACCAGCAGTTGCAATGTGTTTATCAGGGAAGCGACCGCATGGTGCTCGTACAGGACGACCTTGGTTGCCCCGAGACAGACAGAAAAGGCATCGATACGAGCCAACCAACAGCTTGGACTCTTACGGAGGGTGTCGGAAAACTTCGAACCATCAATCTTTCCGCAAATGCTGTACGCCAACGTGTGGTCTCAAGTGTAACATGCCATCCAGGCCTGGCATCTCTGGCGCGATCGCGACGTCAATGCATTTGAAGCTGTACAACATAAAGAAACCAAACTCCTTAGAGAAAATTTCCAACTCTCCTACGAGCGTTAACCCCAGTCCATGAGATGGTACAGTGGTGAACATGGACGTCTGCGTGGGGGGCACATCAAGGTTTACTTAACAGTGACAAACCCAACTCGCCCGTACCGAAATCAATCGCAGCTGAGCCAAAACACCAAGTTGAGAAGCCCTCAGCTCAGCCTGGCTACACACTACAGTCGACGTGACTGTCAACGAAACATTTTCTGCCTCCGTGTGTAATGTGTTTGCAACGCACTTCCGACTCACATCATTCTTGCCCCTACATTAAGGCCATTCAAAATACGACTTCATGACACGCTTTCCAACTTCATTATTTAATTTAGTCCGTTTCATTCGGAGGATGAATTTAAGTAAACCAAGGGATGTTCAACGGCCCTCTCCGCAACGTGGCGGTGAGGATACATGCTGAGGTGTCCTTTTGAGTAGCGTGCATGTATCCAAACTGGATTTAAGTAACACATCTGTCAAATGAAACAACACGTGCGTGCGCGTTGTCGTTTCCATGTTTATTTCTCACGCACTTGCTGAATTATAACAAGTTTCTATACTATCATGTGTGCGCACAGCCCATTCCTTTTTCAAACTATCGTTATGTATTAGTGCATTTAAATCGGTAAGTGCTTAGAATGAACCTTACAATTTTACTTTGTATATCAAGCATCGTACAAGACCTGTTACACACATGCTGTTTTACTCGTGTTAAATCAGTGTTTATTGTTCATTTCGTATAACAGTGCTACTACGCCCTGACTTCTGGACCAGCACTTAGGAATACGGCAAGCTCCTCCTTGAGTTCATGACAAGCAGAGCCCGTCGCGGCTGCTCTAAGTGTACAGTTTTCTTCAACACGATAACTAAATGTATCACGATTCGCCTAATCCGGACTGCTTCTGTCTCGTCTTGGATACCCGTACTGGTTGGTGGCTAAAGGAAAGCGCAGGTATTTTCGAAAAGGGCCCATTCTGCTATGCATGCTCTACTTAGTGAGCCGACGCGTGGAAAAGCATATTTCGCAGCCTTTCCATCTTCCTGGTGCAAATTACCTTGACACGATTTACTTATTCATCCGCACTTCTCCCCATAGCCGACGACCAATTAGGAAATGCCAACTACTTTGCTTACACGAGTAGCTGCATTCGATAAACCGTGAGTTTACGTTGCTAAGAGGTAGTTAGATATTTGAAGGCGATCAGTAACATTACAGTAGTGATGAGTTGCAACTCAACAATTCATCAGTTTACGTGACAACTAGGTAGCTAATTCACCCCAGGAAGCTTCCATCGCACAAGTCACGTTCCTGAAAATCTGCACATTGCGCGACAACCTAGATTACACTGCGTAATCGCGAAGCTCAGAGCGCTTTTGTAGTGAGTACATCGCACCTGTCTATAATCCCAGTACGTATATTTTGTCCTGGAATCTTCTTTCTATGTTCTCGATCTCGTCAATTCAGTTACAGCAACAAAGTCCATCACATTGAGCAGGTACAGGATTGCAGCTTGAATCCAGCTTGCAGCTGGATTGCAGAGACAGAAAAACAACCATTACGGACTGTACTGCGTTAATGGTGTTCTGTAGTAAACAAGCTGAAGAAAGAGCCCAAAATAAAGTAAAACGTAATAAAAGGCAAAAGTGACCGAAATACTTAGTTAACTCGTAAACATCATGTGGTCACAAAGAGATCTCATTGGATGTATTAAATACACATCTGCTCCACAGACTGGTCCACACCATACACTATATAACATGAAGACCGGCTTGGAAATGACAGGGAAAACGCCACTCCAGGCCTGGCAACACGAAACGGCGCTACGCGATGTCACTTCTTGCACACAAGGCAAAGGTTTTCTCCACATACAATGAATGGGTACGACCAAAGCTCGCTCAAATTAAAGTGTATGGTTCGTTTCTAGTTGCCTCATGATCACCAACTTGCCTTTTTGGTCCATCTGCTGTGGGGACAATCTCCTTCACGCCCATAAAATCCGATTCAACCCACTTACCTAATCCGCCATTGGGGACAGTATTGTAACCATTGATGCGTGCCTTCGATTTTCAACGCCATCCAATGATTACAAATTCATCTAACCATAAACGAAAATGCTCGTCCGACAGAATCAAGACCGCGATCAGTTGAGACACAGCCTACCCTGAGGACCGGGCGACCTCTTAGTGTCTTTAGACCACGTGAAACTAGTGCTGGTTGCATGACACTGAAGCGTCGATGCTGCGTACCGGCGTACTGCTGAAACCCTATCTCTTGTATGTGTTCACCAAGAGCTGAAATGACTCTTTTCAACGTCTCAGCTGTCTGCATTCCTTATTGACTTCCAGTGGAATGGAGTTTAATGCGTGTACCCTGTTTTGGGCCGCTGGTGCGAAGTTACTTTTGTTGACACCATATTTTGTAATAAATGTCATGAGCATCACACAAGACCTGTGGTTTGAGATATTTGCAAGTGCATTAAATAGTTGTCACATTTTCAACAGTTGTCAACAATCGGATCAATCCTTGCTGTAGTTCTCAGTGAAATTCACTAACTGCTAGGCATTGCATAGCACATGGTTGCGACCACAATAGGCAATTTCTTTAGAAAGCACTGCGAATAGGAACTTTATTTGAGCATATACGCCTCAAAATTCAACAAACATTAATAGATTTGACGTCATTAGTCAATCAAGGTAACCGTGCCCGCCCTATGTCCAACTAATTCTGTGACGGACTCGGAGATATAAATCCAAACCGCCCTCTATCTATGGTATCGAGTTGTGAAATTCAAGGTGACATTTTTACATAGAATGAAATCTTGTTAAACGCTTTCACTACCACTTCACGAAAGTAAGATGAACCAACCTAATGGGTGTTGAGAGCGAAATATATAGGCGGGCATAGAACTGATCAAAAAGAATTATAGTATACTAACTTTCTAATCTGAACCGCCTCTTTCCAAAACAAGCGTGACGTTTTTCTTCGATCATACCACTCAACACATAAATTTTACAGATGGAATTCCTGCTTGGATGCAGAATGGGAAACGTTTTCTTTCTAATTCTAACGAGTGTTGAGATACTGTCCATAGTCCACCGATATGTTTGAAGTAAGGAGTAGGACAAGAGGTGTGCATTTTTGTCCGAAGCAAAATCGTTTGCGGAAATCTGTAGGACACTTGCAATCATTATCAATAATTTGTGCTCTTTGTGCAACGAATAAAGTTAGCAAACGATGATATGCAATGTGTGAAAATGCGGCCCGTTTTTCGCATACCAATGCATTGTACCCTTCCAACCGAAAGCATCTCTTCACTAGAATACACTTCTGCATTGGATGAAGCCATCCAATTTTGGAACGAATGTCAGCGGAGCTTGTGAATCCGAAACAACTAACCAACTTGCTTAGGATGGATATCCTGGCACCAAATAAGAAATGCTTAATTAATTGAGTACGTGAGCTCTCCAGAATGTGAAGTGGCTTGACATATTTAAAGCTGCAGAACATCTAAAT